CCTAGACCCAGAACCGTAACACGTGGATGCTCAACCCTAAATCGTAAACCCTGACCCCTAAACCATGAACCCTAAAGCCTAAACCCTGAACCCGACACCCTAAACGTTAAACACAAAACCCTGCCCCCTGAACACTCCGACCTAAACCCCCCCCCTGAAACCTGAGCTCTCCGGTCCCAATCCCGTACTTTCTTTGGGCCATATGTATTCACCTCTTCACGTGCCCGCATTATTCCCTCGATCAGACTCCCTAGGGAGGAACACTCCCCTTCTGGCGGCTACCTCATCTGTTGGTCGCCACTCCTTCTCCTCTTATACTCATGTTCTCTCTCCAAATGTGACTCCCCTTGCCCCCGGCCTGGGGCCGAAAAATATCCAGGGACCTCAGAACCCCCCGCTTCCGACTCCCAGCTTGTTCTGGTCCCTGGATCGCGTGGGGGCTGTTTCTCAAATGTCCTTCTGTCTCCCAGTATTCTCGCTCTCTTGATTATAAATAAGGGCTATCCTTACTCCACATATTCCATGACTTCTCTTACGATTCCTTCGCCAGATATCCGCCTCCAACAGATCTATATGTACTCCGCCACCGGTTTGTCCCTCATTTAGACTTGGGTGATGGTCACTCCTGAGGCTTGCAGAACGTTTTTCTGGATCCGCCCGTCCCATTCCTCATCTTCGTCTTTTCCTCTTGTTCTTAACGTTTGGATACTATTACTCTGTCGGGTTTCTTCCGGGGCATTCGGCAGGTGAGAGAGTGGTGGACTTCCGTAGACTCCTCTTCTGAGGCTGAATCTCTTCCTGTCCTCATTTCTAGTTTTTCCTCTTAAATCTGATAGTGGACACTTAGTTCCGGCGTCTTCTCCTTGTCCTTCCTGTTGTTGTTCCTGAGCCACGGTTGACCCGTTTGGTGTTTCCCGGTTTCCTATATTCTTCCCCCTCGATTTTCAGATGAGGTGACTCCGAATCCTATATATATCTCAGCGCTTACGGCTCTGGGAACGTCTTGCCTCTATATCATCCACATAGGATATAGACCGTCATATGGTGGAGGTGGGTTTAGTGACTTCTTCTCCGGGTACATATCTTCGGTACCCGACTACGTAACTACTCTTCTGATTAGACCTCTTTTTGTTGACTGTTATATTTCGTCTATATATCCTATATCCCCCATATCCCACGCAGAATACCATCAGGAGCAATCCTATAGAAATCGAAATGTGTTTCCCTACCCTTGGACCTTCAGGCCCCAGAGGTCCAGGTGCTCTTGTTGATACTCGGGCGTTATTTTCCTCTTGCACTACCTCACTCTCCGGTTGATGTCCTTTCTCTTGCTTGACTATCCTTGCCGTTCTTGCGTTAACTATGCTTGAGCCCCCGGCCTCTCCGCTGGGGGTTTCCAAGGTTCCCTGTGAGGTGCCGGTTGCTGTTCTCTGGATCCCTACCTCCTCTTCGGAATCTGGTCCCTTTTCAGTTCCCGGCTTGGCCGGCTCGTCGGTGACGTCAGTTTTATTATCTCCGCCCGCCTGCTCGGTCTCAGAATTTGGCTCCTTGATTTCTTCCCTTTTTTTGGCCTGACTGTCTTCAGGGAGGTCCGCTACCTTCTCTGTGATAGCTAGTTCTTCATTCTCTTCAATTGCTCCGTCCCCCTTCGTCTGGAGATGGGCCTCTCTTGCTGGCTCTCTGGAATTTTCTTCGACGATTTTCTCTTGGTGTGGGAAAATTTCCGCCAACTCCTCGCCTGGGCCGTTTTTTTGGACTGTACATCTTATATTGCCTCCGTGTGGTTTCCGCGGACAGTATATCCCTTGGTCCTTTCCACAATTCAGGTATTTGGTTAGGAGAGTCCTTAGATCTACCTGTTCACATTTGGGACATAACTGTCTTAAGGTTGTACTTATACCCAAAAGGAAACTAAGGAACTCTAACTTACAATCACTGTAACTCTGACTCGCCTGACATAAATTTCTGCCCTCTCTTTTCCAGTATATCCCCCTGTCCGTTGTAAGTTTCCTCGGTGGGGGATGGGATAGAACTTTCTCCATTAATTGCTTACATCTTCTGAATGAGTTGGACTTGATTCTTATTATTCGAGCATCTTTTTCTAAGAGGATGTACAGTAAACAACCTATAAAATATAACATCTTCTGGCAATTACCACTGTTTTGACAAGGAAGTTTGTTATCGGCACCCATCAGACCCTTCCACATCCTCCGTGTAGGGAGTTTTAAGTAGTCATCATCCTCATTTTCAGTCGGTTTCTCATTATAAGCACTTCTTATACTCTCTGTCAGGACCCCATCCAGTATATCAGTCCACTCCAGTGTGTTCTTGCCCCCTTTAGTGGTTGTGATCCCTTTCTCATAACCCTCGACCAGTTCTGTATATTGGTCCCTTCCTTTCATTAAAGTTGTCATCCATGCTCCATATCCTGCTGCCGTTCTGTCACAGGAATCCTTTCCTTTATCGGGATATGCATAACAATACTTCTTATCATTCGTGATTTCACACTGCCCTTTTTCCTCGGTCGGATCCCTTAGATCGCCATCCCATATTAACGACATCCTTCTTTTGACTCTTGTCGGGGACCCCTTCTTCGAACTCCTTAGTTTCTGGAATCTCTACTCCCTTACGTGGACCTTGCGCCTTAACTCCTTGTGTTCGTCTGACTATTCTTACCTTATCGCGTACTCATCACCGTTTTTTCTGGATCTCAGTTGGTCTTTACAGAGGCCTCTCAGATCCTCCTGCTGTTCCTGTTTTTCTTTACCTTAGGGCCGCATATTCCCTACTGGGACTACGTCTCGTCCTTCTCCTTATTCTGTTCTTGATATTCGTAACTCCTGCGGCTTCTCTCTCTTTTCCCTTGAGGCCTCGTTCATTCGACTCCGCTTCTGCCCAGCGGGGGTCCCCCCTATCTGGGTAGGTGTCCGTTTCACGGGCCTGATTAGTATTGTTTTCTAGCACTACGGATCCTTCGGTTGTGCCGTTTGCGTTTGCCTTCTGGGATCGTTCAACTTGGCCTTTTGTGTCTCTGGGGAAGTTTTCCCCTAATGACCTTCCGTCTTCTGATACTCACTTTTCCACTCTGTTGGTTAGATAATTAATTCTTGATCCCGTCGTTCCTCTTCCGTTGTCGGTTCGTCCCATCCCTTTCGGTTCATCCGAGAGGTGTTCTCCCCTCTTTTTATACAGGACTCCTCAATTTGGGGGAGTTGACAAACCTACCTGCCCCCTCTTGGGGGAGGTTCGTTATTCCTCCTTCTCCTCTCCACAGTCACCTTGTTCTACTGCCTTTTCGTCAGTTTCCTTCAGGCTCCTATTGTCCAGTGTTGTTCTCAGTTCCTTTGTCTCCTCCTCTTCGATTCACTATCTCCTGTTCTCGCATTCCCGATTCATGTGCGGGTATTGGCCGTCACCTTAGCCCCGTCCCTTCGTTCTTCTACCCTCCCACTAATGCGACGCATCTTTCTTCGAATTCTCGTCCTCTCTTCTATTTTTTCTACTCCTCAGCTTATTAGACATTTTTCACACCTGCACTCCTGGCTCTCGAGATCCTGGATAGAGACTTAAACTTGCCTTGTTATCCAATCTCTTACCTCCTCATTAATGAGTTCTGAGGTTGGGAGATGAGTGCTTATATTCTTCATACGCCTTAATATTACTCACATCACCTGAAGTCTTCCCAATTTCTTCCTGGGTGATGCCTCGGATGGAAACGCTCGTTTTTCCTTCTCCTTTAATCTTAGTCCACACGATATGTCGGAATGTGGCGGGAGATTTGGGCCCTTCTCAGGGGTGCACTCTGTAAGTTCAACCCCCCTCCTGCTCCCGGAGATTGCTTGTCCCCACTCTGGAGTATGCGTCGGGTGTTTCTGCTCCTTACTCCCTCCCTCGTTGCTCCTGCCTTGGTCATTGGTAGCGCCTCTACCCTTTTCAGTCTATATTCTTGGCGTCGTTATCCATTTTTTACCTTTTCTTACAGGCTCCCAGATGGTGGGCAGACTGTTCTTCCCTTCTGTGTCTGTTCCTCCAATTAGGCCCTTCACTTCGGCAGTAGATCCGGCCTCTCCGTTGTCCCGTTTCATCCACTGGTTAACATAATCTCTCGCGTTTAGACTCTCCTGGGGTGACTCCTGTCGGATCTAGGCGTCTCCTTCCGTCCACTCCTGATCTTCTCCTTGTTTTTCATCGCTCAGAGACGAAATTAGAGAAGGTTCTCTTAATTTGATACCTGAATTTTCTGTATACTCCTGAATACTAATTGGCACCCCTCCCCGTTTGATCCGCAACTTTTCTCCCATTGAACCTCTGTCTGCTCGCTCGCAGTTGTTCCGCATCAGACTTGGGATTGTGCTGTCCTTATTGTCTCCCGTATCCTACCCCCCGGCCTCCGCTTAGCCCTACCTACTCTTCCCTCTCTTCCTCGGTTGCATGAATTGGTTTCGTCCTGTTTTCCTCTAATGGCCTCCCCTTCCCTTGAGGTGGAGAGTTCTCTTCTCAGATATTCTTTAACCCTATTCTGTGGAGGTGCTTTGACTCTACTCGTTCTGTGGTCTCTACTCATTTCCTTCTATCCCACCTTCCTGTTATGGTTCACTATTTGTTCTTTTAGAGGCTATTATACTTTATGCGATTTCTTTCAGAGCCATCCTTATGTTTTCCTACGCCTTCCCCGTAGTTGGATTATCACTCAGTCGTCTCCTTGGTTCTTCGTTTTTTGGGGGTAACTCTGGGAGCATTCGGATATCAGGAGAAGGACTCAGTCCGACCTGCTTTAAATTTCCTTATAGTTACTTAACTTCTAGTTTCCACGGATGTACTCCAATCACTCCTTTCCTTCTCATCATAACATCGTCGTCATGTTTCTCCTCCCCTATCTCAAGAGTCTTGAGGAGGGTTGCTTCGCCCTGGAATTTCTCACGGCGATATGCTCCCCTTCTTTTCTATTAAATATTTTCGCCTTCCCGAGTGGAAGCGTCAGGCCCTCAATTTTCTTTTGGCTTCAGGCTCCGAGCCGTCCTCCTCCTTTTAGTGGCTCCTTCCTTGGGGGAGTTCAATATCATTCCCCATTAGTAGTCGCCCCTGGACTGCTTAGGCTGCGGAGTTACTTCTTCTCCCTTCCTATTTCCTTGAGGCCGCACCCTTGACTGAGTTGTTCAGTTCGTTCTTTTCCGGCATCTTTATCAATAAGTCTTTTTAGCCCTCAGGATAGAGCTTTTTTCCTCTTTCTATTTTAACTTTATCTCTTCTAGTTTATTCGTCTCTATAGATCCTTTTCGATTTCTCCTTATTTTTGACTTATCCCTTTCCAACTGTTCCCTGGGGCCTCACTGTACTACTCCCTCTTTTCCGGTTCTTCTTCATCTAGAGTTCAGTTTCAGACGCGGGTATTCCTCACTCATTCTGTCCGGCTCCCTAACTTCCTCTATACCTTCTGTGTTTAGCTCCTCCTTCTTGTCCACGACTCTTTGCTCCCTTGTTGGGTATTAAATTCTTGGGTTCTTAGATGATTTGTCCTTATCCTCATACACAGGCCCTTTTGACCTGCGTCTTCTTGTTCGCCGTCTTTACTTCGCCCTATACCCTCCAGTCCTATGGGGTATACCGTTTCCTTATTTAACCTTCGCGGACTTCCTGAGGAGCTATTCCTGGCTTTTTCTCAGCTTTCAATTTTCCGGCCGTCGCTTGTTGTTCATGATGTTCACGGTCTGCATTGTTTGGGAGGATCCCTGGTTCGTCCTTTCTTGCTTGATTTATACTGCGTTAAACCTTATTTGGTACACTCGCTCCTTCAAATCTGACTTTCTTGATCCGGGGCTTTTGGGGGGGGAGTTTTCGTATTCTTGTTTGAGGTTTGGACCTGTTTTGGTTCATTTGGGTTTGTTATTCTTGCTTGGGGATACGTTTCATTTTAGTCCTGGCTGGTCCTTTGTCTTTTTATTTCGACAGATATGGTCGTGATGAGTCGTCTCGTGGGTTTGTGCTTCTTCTCTTTTTTCCTGTTGGGGGTTAACTTACGATATGGGCTTGAGATAATGAGGGTTCTCCTCAGGTCCTTGTTTCCGGATCTGGTGTGTCGTTTTATTTCCTTAGTACGTCGTGATTTGGTACGGGCTGAAGAAACCCCCTATTCGCTTACTACCCAAACACTTCGCTCAGACTCCGTTTGGTTCCTACAGATCTTTTGTGTCCTATTCTCCCCCTCCGTTTGCTCGCCAGATATCCGTCCTTCATTCCTCTCAGCCTGGTATCTGGAATAGGGACTGCCCTCCCTACCCCCAGGTGTTTCTCATCTTCTTGTTTAGGTAGTTGGAATACACTCTTGAGGCCTCTGTTTGGAGTCCCTCCTTCTACTCAGCTGTTCTGTTGATTTTCTGTTGATATTCTATGGTGTTTCGTCTTCAGCTTGAGACAGTGTGGATCTTCTATATTCATACTGGTTTTTCCTTTTTTCGTTCCTGTAAAGGTGGGTAGCTCCCTTTTATTCTTTCCTTTTCGTTCTATCCTGATTCCGGTTTCCTATAGGAGCTGCTTATTCTTTATTGGATGGTTTAAAGGGTAGTTTCGACATGGTGTCTCTCTTGGAAGTACAGGAAGTTTGGGGAGTCTCTGCTACTCCTCCTTGGAAGTTTCTCAGAGGGCCCCCCTCTCATGGATTATTGGGAGGGTGATTCGTCTCTCTTTTTATGTCTTTGGTTCCTTTATAGGCTCAGGTCACTATTTCTTCTCCTTGAGGTTTGACAGTAGCTGGGACTTCAGAGTATCTCAGGGGTTGTTATTTGAGGACGATGCGTTGGGTTGATTTTACTAGTTCCTTCTTTGTCTTGTTAAGGACTTCGACGATATGTTTGGATGTTTCCTTCATTACTTCTTCTTGTTTTGAGGCGTCTTAATTTTAATTGGGTTTTGTCTGATTTCTGTCCGGGTTAGACGATTGATATTAGGTGGGTACCAATTTTGCTGTTTAGATGCCCCTTAACTATAGACGGATTATTCTGAAGTTTCCTGAATATTTCGCTAGTTCTCGTATTACTGAGGGAGTCGCTTGTTGATATTTTGGGATTTTTCTTAAAAAGTTCCTTAATTGTTCGACGGTGTCAGGTTTAGATACTGATCTCATATACCGCTAAGTCAAGTTATATCGTCCCTGTTTTTGTTTCTATATTTTGGGGTTTTTCGTCCCTCTCTGGTTGGTTTTTTTCTCAGTGTTAGCTCTGGTTATTTTTTCTCTATTGTTGGTTTCAGGCTTAAACACTTACCTCATTTTGGGCTTGTTCCCTGTTTCCATGTTTATAAGGTTTCATATAAAGAATATATTTAATTTATCTAGTATTCCTTAGTTCTAAGTTGGGAGGTGATATAAGCTGGTTTCTCCTTTTAGGGTAAGTAAGCCCGTTCCTTGATCTAATTTTTATTCTGGTGGAGGAGCTTAAGTCCTTGGGTTGTGATCTTTTTTTTTTTTTTAGAGGTTTGAGTTTTAGACGTTGTTTCCTTGGAAATTATATTGAGACGACTTTACTGTTGTAATATTTTCCGGATACTTTGGGGAAATTGGTTCCGGATACTTGTTCTAATGGGGGGGGAAGGGGAAAAATACTGATCCTTTCTGATTATATAGCGCTTTAGACCTTTGGTTTGTATG